GGAGCCGCGCGCGGATCCTTGCAATAACACAGTACCGTTGAAGAGGTCCCTCAGGTTTCCTAGCCCACACATATATATATATAATATATATATAATATCTCTCTCTATATTATATATAAATTACATATACAGATAAATAAAATGCTTTCTGCTGCCTTTCTGTCGCGCTGTTCAGAGCTGCTAGACAGTCACGCTTGGAAAATTGCCCCTGGAGCTCTGGGACTAGCTCGTGTTCTCAGAGTCCACTGCGTCACTTGTGTCTTACATTAGTCCTTAGCCGCCTCCTCCCATCTTGATTCTTGGTTTAGTTAATAATAATAATAATAATAATAATAAAAAACGACTCTTGAATGGGTTCTCATCTGTCTCTAATGGAGCAATGGGAAGGTCCATGCAGGAATGGTGGGAACAGTCACGTGATGAATGAGATCAGTTCATCCCAACAAAAGAAACAGGACTAGAAAACTCAATTTTGCGACGATCTAAAAAAGGGGGCAGGAATAGTTTTCACATCCCCCCCTTGGGGCAGAGGGCTCGGGTGGGGTGGGACTTCGGAGATCTTCTGCTCATGGGGAAGCAGATGCGGGACATCTTCAGAGTTTCTCGAGGGACGGGACCCAGATGTAGTGCCCGGACTGGTCCTCGATGATCTGTTTGATTTTGCTGTAGATTTCTTCGAGAGAGTCTCCTTGTACGATGGCTGCAAGAGGAGAGAACAAGCGACATGCTGAGCCGGGAGCTCCGTCACCGCGGCTCCAACCGGCACGCGGTGACACAGGGATTCAACCAGCGTGTCCAAGAGGATTAGCGGGAGCTCAGGCTGATCCCACCCTGGCAGAGCCACTCGCGGGGACGAGGTGCCGGCCGGGCTGCTAAGCAGCTTTGTGTCACACCAGCGCGGCTCTGCAGGGCACCAACGCTGTCCCCATCCCAGCAACAGCCTCACTGCTTTTCCGGGATGCAGCGGTTTGGGCCGGGATAATTCCTCCTTGCTTTAGAGGAAACAGTTACCACGCACTGGATGGAAGAGGAGCAGCTCTGCCCCTCTGCCCGCTCGTGATTTTCCAGCATTAATCACGTTGCAAACACGAATTCCTCAGTACACAAGGATGCCTGTGCCATGAGCTGCTCGTTTCTGCAGGCACAAATTGCCAGGCAGCCCCAGACTGACTCTTCAGCAAAGGCTGCTTAGGAAGTCAGCCAAATTTCCAGTCTTTTTTTGGGAGATGTTTTGTAATAACCCAGGACAAGTCTTCATCATTTAGGTCACTTCTTATCTTTCTGCTTTCAAGTGAGCTTTTTTTGAATATGCTCCCATTCCCCAGGACAAAGGGACTTATTTCCTGGAGCTGTGGAGCACCATGGATATATGCTCTGCTTCTGCCTTTTTTTTTCTTTTTAATAAAAGATGGTGATAGGCTTTCACCAACTCAGAAAACGCTGCCTGACAACTCGCCTCCTTCTCTAGGGCAGGTTTACTCTTATCCACTGATCCCCTTTGCAGGGCCACGTTGGCAGAGGGCCCTTTCTTTTCGCTTTGGTGAAGCTGGACGTTTTCCCATGACCCAGCAGCAGGGCAGGGCTGCTAAAGAGGTCACAGCTGCTGCCTTTGAAACAAAGGGAAAAAGCCACCAGGCTGCCCCACCTGTAAAATACTCTCCGAACTCTTGCTCGAGTTTCATGGCTTTGTCGAAGACCTTGTTCGCCTGTTCATACGTCTGCCTCCGGTTCATCTCCCTGCCATGCACAAAAAGTAGAAATTCAGCTCTTTTTCTTAGCCAGGAACAAAAGCAAAAGCAACAATAGCCCTGACAGACCAAGGGTGCCTGCAATTCCCAACCCCACGGGCTCTTTTGCTGCCCTGGCAGCTCAGCTGAAGTTCCTTTTATTGCCACTTTCTTTTCATTTCACCTTAACACAGACATGGACCAAAACCCTCTGCCTTTGCACGACCACTGTGGAAATCTGTCTGCTTTTCCAGAGTGTGTTACCACCCTCCTTGCCTAGATTCCCTTGGGTTTTTACAATACCAAAAATAAGCAATTCTGCAGGGGTTAAGAAGTGGTTTTCCCTGTCCCTTTGGTGCCAGCAGAATCCGGCATCTTCAGAGCCTCCCTCTATCCCCAGACATTCCCTACGGATAACAGTCTCCGTTGCTGCTCCGGGGAGCTGCAAGCTCTGCTCTCCCAGTCCCTCCGCTCTGTGTTCCTGGGGCTGGGAATAGCAGGACAAGCAGACGGTCTCCCCTGGGCACACAGGAGCCCTGTCCCCTCTGCGGTCCCCAGGGCTGTCCCCACTGTGGCCCTACACCGTGGACCTTGGGCAGCTCTCCCGGCTGCATCCAGGGAGCAGGGGAGCCAGCTGCATCTGTAAACACGTCAACATCTCCTGTCCTCTCCGGGGCAAATGAAGGGCTGGAAGCCCAAGCAGGACATGGGGACAGGACGCACGGTGGCATCAGGCCTGCTGTGGATACAGAAGGTGACCAGGGGCAGTAACAGAGCTGCTCCTAACAAGGACACGTTCAGCAGCGTCTCTGCTGCTTGCTAAGGAGCTTCCTAAGAGCCAGCAGAAACAGGAGCCCCCACACGTCCAGAGCTAACTGCCCCGGAGCGGCTGAGAACACACGTTGCACTTACATGAGAGCTTCGATAGATTTTGGTTTGATGAAAATGGCAATGGGATAAAGTTGTGCTTGTTGCAACCTCTTGATAGCATTGCCAGATACATCCAGGATGCAGTGCTTGCCCTGCAAAGGAGACGAGCGGGATCAGAGCTCCCCGCCCGGGCTGCTCCGTGCAAAGCGCAGATTCCCCCTACGGACTCGTCAGCAAGAGGGGAGGTGAAACGGGCCCTGGGCACGAGCTGCCTCCCGAAGGCCTCGCGTCCCGGCCGCGTAGGGCAGGGAGTGGCTCCTTGCCCGAAACATCCTTTACGAGCACATCTGCATGGGCAGCGTTGCTGCCACCCCAACCACCGCCGGGCACCTTTGTGCCGTGACTGCCCAAACGCGAGGTCGGTGCCAGGGGTTTGGGCAGAGGGGGCAGGAGAGGCAGGCGGAGCGACACGGCGGCGGGAAGCGGCCACGCGGCGCGGTGGGACCCGCTCAACGCGGTCCCAGCCCTTCGCTAACCGCGCGGGCAAACGCAGCGCCGGCGTGGCCGGGCACTCCACCCCTCCGCCAC